CTTTTTTTTTTTTTTTTTTTTTCCCCAAACTTTTTTGTTGCTTTTAGGCATGTTCTGCATGATCTGTAAAAGTCAAACCACTTTCTTACCTCATTTGTATTGGGCACTCATATTGTAAGTAGTCTGTGAATAGTGTCGGCCGGGGAAGGAGATAAAACAGACTAGTGTGTGCGAGACGCACTAGCCACAAAAAATGAAGTGAGCCATGTTTCGTTCATTTAAATGGTGTTTGAATTTCATATGCCAATAGTTTTGTTACATTGCAAATTTTAATGTATTTAAATAAATGCAATATTCAAATTACAAAACTGCTCGGGAGTATTTGTGTGAAATTGTCTGCGATACTCTTGTTTCTGCACCATGATAATTATTTTCGCACATGATTTTGTCGTAGGCAGTGACTTCCCCAGGAAGCAAGACGGATCTACCTTGATGTGCGGCTGCAACACGTACGGTTCATAAACATACCGTGATATTTTAAGAATACAACATATACAATTTCAGGCACAAATAATGTTCAGATTTTAAGATTGGTTCTTACAAAGAATTCATGCAACAATATTTAATGTTATATATTGATTTTATATTTAGAATTTTATAGACATTTTTTCTCCACTCTTTATAGTTTCAACAACTAAATTTAGATGCAAATGAGTAATATTTCACCTGTATTACACTATTTAATTGTATTGTATTTGTCCCCAATTAAGTACTTTTACTAAATAGAAACGAACCACTATTAAAATTTGAAATAATAATTAGTTTTAAATGATGCAATGAATTGACTAATTCAGAGTACAGAAAACTAAATTTAGTTTTACGATACAAATACATTTAACAATAATGTTTTATTAATTTTATATTTAGAAATGTATACACATTGTTCCTGTACCCCATTTATAGTGTCAAAAACTACATTTAGATGCACTATTTAATTGCATCGTAGTTGTATTTTCCCCATTACCTACCTAAATGAACCACTATTAAAACTTCAAATGTGACCCTGGAGCACAAAAGCAGTTAAGTCGCTGGGGTATATTTGTAGCAATAGCCAAAAATACATTGTATGGGTCAAAATTAGAGATTTTTCTTTTATGCCAAAAATCATTAGGATATTAAGTAAAGATCATGTTCCATGAAGATATTTAGTAAATTTCCTACCATAAATAAATCAAAACTTAATTTTTGATTAGTAATATGCCTTGCTAAGAACTTAATTTGGACAACTTTAAATGCGATTTTCTCAATATTTAGATTTTTTTGCACCCTTAGATTCCAGATTTTCAAATAGTTGTATCTCGACCAAATATTGTCCTATCCTAACAAACCTTACATTAATGGAAAGCTTATTTATTCTTAAGCTTATTTATTAAATCTCAAAATTGAGATTGACCCTTATGACTGGTTTTGTGGAACAGGGTAACAAATAATTAGTTATAAATGTTGCATGAATAAACCCATGCAAATTCTCTTACAAAGAATGCATTTAAAGTGTCATTAATATATATTGATTTGTCATTAATTGGAATGTGGTTATCAAAAACGAGACACGTTTCACAATGTTTTTTAATTTGAAATAATATAAAACATCTTAAAACAGTCTTTTTTGCTCTACAAAAAGAATGTTCTGTTTCATACATCTGCTTTGTGAAAACCCAAGTCTATCCAGAAATGTTTCAAGTCACAGAGCTGCAACTTCTTTATGCATACATATAAAAAACAACAGGATGCCATCACATACCAAGGGCAGCTCAGGAGACAACAACGTAACTGAAACTCAGGGACGACAGTTAATACTTGCTTTGTGAGGACAGCATGGCAGCTTTTTAGAAAAATAAACTAAAGGACAAAAAAAATCAGTCACTTCCCCAACGTCTCCTTCTCCAGAGAACCGGCATATCCACATTCTGATGAAGTCTCCTCTGTTAGGGCTAATCACTTTGAGTCATGAACAGCGTTAGTTCAGCTGTTTGCCTGTTCTGTCCTGTAGGATTGTTGTTGATCACACAGGAACAGAGAGTTCAGCTCTAGGCCACAGTGACGAAGCGGCCTCCTTTGCTGCTCTGCTGTGCTGCCGCCACACGCTGGTCCTTCAGGAGGCGGAACCGCTCGCTGAGGGTCATTTCAGTCTGATAGAGAAAAGAACAACAATGAAGACAGCCATCAGGTTCACCACCACTGAGGTAAATGTGTTTCTAGCGGCTGATCTGGAACAGATTGGTTTTTTTTCTTCAAACAGGAAAGCAAAACACAGGCTGAAGTTCAGTGCTGGAAGAGTTCATATTTGAAGTGCATGTAAATGTAGTCAAAGATTTACATGTATTTTTTGGATTAAAAAAAAAAATCATGAAGGTGATTCAAACAAATTGTTGGACAAATCAGATATTGGTTCATGAGAATAAATACTTATTTTTCTTTTTTTGAAGTAATGCACCAAAATTTCACCAACCACAAATTTTCTGTATAAAATTAATTTTCCGTTTCAGACAAAAATAAATAATTAAAAGAAACCGTTGCATTTAATTGGCATTTCTCCAATGGCGCACTTTTTTCAGTATCTATTTTATGCTTAACTTTATAATTAATAATTACAACAGTTGAAATCATAAATGAAAACAGTTGTGCTGCTTTATATTTTTGGCGAAACCATGATACATGTTGTTTTCAGGATTCTTTAACGAATAGAAAGCTCCAAAGAAACAAAAATTTTGTAACATTACAAACGGTCACTTTAGATCAATTTAATGCATCTTTGCGGAATAAATGTATTAACCTTTTTAAATCTAACGCCAATAGTAGTGTATCGGTTTCCACACAAATATTAAGTAGCACCATTATTTTCAATATTGATAATAATGAGATGTTTCTTGAGCAGCAAATCTTTATATTCAAATGATTTCTGAAGGATCATGTGACACTGAAGACTGGAGTAATGATGCTGAAAATTCAGCATTTAAATTACATTCTCAAAAATAGTTTTAAATAGTTAAAATATGTCACAATATTACTGTGTGTATACTGTTTGTAATGCAGCCTTGATAAGACACTTATTTCATAAACATTAAAAATTGTAATGACAGTACTGATTAGAAGTGTTGATTATTAAATTTGATCAACTTTATTTTTTGTGACAGTTTTAGGCTACATTAAATCTTTAATTTTGGTTTCTGTGTTTTGGTAAAAAAACCAACAAACAAACAATACATCAGTAATTTTATTGACCGAATTATGCAAAACAAATGCATTCTTGCATGTCAATTTAAGATAACATTATTTTACAGTGTCCTTGTTACATGTGCTTACTATAGTAATAACAATAAATTATATATACTCACATGCAACCAACCGTAATCTAACCTTGTAGTAAGTACAAGACAGTTCATTCATATTACTCAGTACTTAAATGTATAATTACACTGTAACAAGGACATCTTAAGATTTACTATAAACATATTTCATTGACTCAATGATAAATACAATTGATATTTGTGACCCTGGAGCACAAAGGCAGTCTTAAGTCGCTGGGGTATATTTGTAGCAATAGCCAAAAATACATTGTGTGGGTCAAAATTATACATTTTTCTTTTACGCCAAAAATCATTAGGATATTAAGTAAAGATCATGTTCCATGAAGATATTTAGTAAATGTCCTACTGTAAATATATCAAAAATTAATTTTTGATTAGTAGTATGCATTGCTAAGAACTTAATTTGGACAACTTTAAAGGCGATTTTCTCAATATTTTGATTTTTTTTTTTTTGCTCCCTCAGATTCCAGATTTTCAAATAATGCATCTCGGCCAAATATTGTCCTATCCTAACAAACCATACATCAAAGGAAAGCGTATTCATTCAGCTTTCAGATGATGTATCAATCTAAAACATTTTTTAAATTGACCCTTATGACTGGTTTTGTGGTCCAGGGTCACATTTGTCCTACCTGTTTCCCAACACTGTTGATATCAAACTGCAGGGCGACACCTTTAGGAGGTTTCCTCTCCGGCTCCTCTCGAGGAGGTGAGGAGCGTGCCGGAGTCACGGGGTGCAGGGACCAGGACTGAGCCGGCCTGTGCGGAGCGAAACCAAACATCTTTACTTCTGTGTTCCCAGACTCACATTCACAACATGCTGGAAAGAGTCTCAAAGGTTAAACCTGCCAAACTAACAAGACAAGATGGAAACAAATGGATGGGAAATATGTGTGGCTTGTTAGTGAGAACATGCATCTTATCTTTATGAGTATCATTAGAAATACAAAACAAACACCAATTACAAATCCAAATATCTGAATGGCAACTATTGTATGTCTTATGAAATTGTGCATCTGGGTCTAATCAAATGTAATCATACTCAGGCTGTGTTCTAGCTGTGGGGTTGTCTATTGACACAGTGAGGATGCCACTGTTGTTTGTAGGAGTGCGCCACCTGGTGGAAAAGAGGAGAGAAATTCGGAACAGTAACAAACTTACAGTACATCTACACTACTGCTCAAATGTATGGCATACAGAAGACTTAATGCATTCTTGCTGAATAAAAGTAATTCATTAATTTTTTTAAAATCTTTATGATCCCAAACTTTTGAATGGTAGTGTAGTAATTTAACTCAAATATCATTTAAAAATAAAAATAAAAAAATAAAAATTTGAAGAATGGGGTTTACTTACAAGCGAGTTCTCTGTGTGGGCTGAGCAGAGCTTGTCTTCTGAACTTGTGCATGAACCTATTTGAAAAAAAACCCAAAAACTTGAAGTTATTGAAAACCCTTCCTGCTTTATTCTTAACTACCATTTGACGAGACCTTGATTCAGTGCGTTTATTCAGTGAATAGGAGTGCGCCACCTGGTGGAGAAGAGAGGAGAAATCAGTAAGAGTTAACAGGAACAGCTTACAGTGCATCTACACTACTTTTCTAACATCTGCATTCATTTCTTCAAAAAAACCACACAAAAAAAAACAGTACAACAGTAATGTTGTAATATCACAACTTTTATATTAGAATATATTTTAAAATGCAATCTATTCCTGTGATCAAAGCTGAATTTTCAGTCTTCAGTGTCACATTTTGTTTCAGGATTGACTAATAGAAAGTTTAAAAGAACACCATTTATTTGAAATCGAAATCTTTTGTAACATTGTAAATGTCTTTACTGACAGTTTTTATCAATTCAATGCAACCTTGCTGAATAAAAGTATATAAAAAAAAAACTGAATGACCCCAAACTTTTGAACGGTGGTGTAGTAGTTTGAATCAGAAAAACAGAAAAAGCAAAAATAATAAAAATAAAATTGAAGAATGTTTACTTACGAGCGCGTTCTCTGTGTGGGTTGAGCAGACTTTGTCTTCTGAACTTGTGTATGAACCTATTAAAAAGAAAATAATAATAAAAAATAATAAAAATAGTAAAGTACTAATAGACAGGAAGCCAAATCAGTGCTCTTATATTTTAATTGGCTTATCTTTAAATTCATAATGCATTTTAAATACATTTTCATATGAACAGTCACTGATTGAAAACATAAAACCATTCTTGCTTTATTCTGGACTAACATTTAAAGAGACTTTGATTCAGTGAGTTTACTCAGCGAAGGATTGATTTGAAATAAATAGCCTATGGTTTGATTCTTTTTTGCGATTCATTAAAATGGTTCACAAGAGTAGTACACAAACCAGTCACAGATTAATGCCAATTCTAGTGATGAAAGGACCAGTTTCTAATTTAAATGTCACACTTTTCACTATAACAAGAGCCAATCGCTTTGAACACTGTCATTGTGTATGGTACACATTCATTTCTATAAATACTACAGAGCAACCATATTCTTAAAAACTTGATGCATGTATGCTAACTACATTACATATTTAAGTGAAACAAATGGCTCCTTAAAATGTGAAGAGGGTGTCACATGATCAGCACCCATGCATGCAGCTTTCTGCCCAGATCTTCCCTACTAAAGTGAACAGCTTCTGTGCTTTTCACACATCTCTGTGTGAACTCTAGGCAGGAAGTTCATTAGCTTCTTACCTTGAGTCCTCTTCTGAAGAGGAAGGTGGCCTGTCGTGCTTCTCTCTGTGTTTGCTGAGCAGTCGGAGCATTCCTGTAGAGAACAGATGATAAAACAAAAGGCAATCATTTTCACATTGAAACAACTTGGAAACAATAGAAATAAATTAGTGCTGTCAAACAATTAATCGCGATTAATCGCATCCAAAATAAAAGTTTTTGTTTACAAAATATATCTGTGTGTACTGTGTATATTTATTATGTACAATTATGTATGTATATATATATTTGTTTATTTATTATGTATATAAAAGCACACACATACAGTATATATTTTGAAAATATTTACATGTATACATTTATATATAAATATATTTATTATATAAACATAACATTTTTTTCTTAAATATATACATGCATGTGTTTGCATTTATATATACACATAATAAATATACACTACACACACATATATTATGTGAACAAAAACGTTTATTTTGGATGCGATTAATCACGATTAATCGTTTGACAGCACTAAAATAAATTAATCTTAATTTCAGTTGGTTAAGTCCCACCCTAATTTCTAACTTTAATTCTCCCGCTTCACTGAGTTACAAATCTTACATTGACATTTTGCCTGTAATATATTTGCTTCATGTACATGTGTGTCTTTTTTTTTAAAGAAATTAACACTTTTAAAGATGCATTAAATTTATCAAAAGTGGCATTTATAATATTACAAAAGATTTCTATTTCAAATAAATGCTGTACTTTTTAACTTTCTATTTATCAAAGATCTCTGGAAAAAAAAAGTATCAGTTTCCACAAAAATAATACAGTAATAATACATGTTTCTTGAACAGCAAAGCAGCATATTAGAATGATTTCTGACGGATCATGTGACACTGAAGACTGGAGTAATAATGCAAAAAATTCTGCTTCGCATTACAAGAATAAGTTATATTTTAAAATATATTAAAACAATTATTTTAAATTGTAACTTTTAAAAAATATCACTGTTTTAATGCATTTCAAGGCTGTATTTATTTTGAAATGCTTAATTTAACAACCCCAAACTTGAATGGTGGACCACAATATTCTGAATTCTGCCTAAAAAGATCCATCTTGGTCTCATATGACCATAAAATCTCATCTGAAAACTGAGGTCCTTTTGGCAAATTTATGTTTCTATTTATCAAAGATCTCTGGAAAAAAAAAGTATCACAGTTTCCACAAAAATAATACAATAATAATACATGTTTCTTGAACAGCAAAGCAGCATATTAGAATGATTTCTGACGGATCATGTGACACTGAAGACTGGAGTAATAATGCAAAAAATTCTGCTTCGCATTACAAGAATAAGTTATATTTTAAAATATATTAAAACAATTATTTTAAATTGTAACTTTTAAAAAATATCACTGTTTTAATGCATTTCAAGGCTGTATTTATTTTGAAATGCTTAATTTAACAACCCCAAACTTGAATGGTGGACCACAATATTCTGAATTCTGCCTAAAAAGATCCATCTTGGTCTCATATGACCATAAAATCTCATCTGAAAACTGAGGTCCTTTTGGCAAATTTATGCTTTGATGTGGACTTGAGTTGTGGCTTCTCCTGCACCATGTTTTTCATGTGTACTATCACAAGGTACTGCACATGCAACAACTCTTAACTTTAACTCCGATATTAAACGAAAAAAAAAAATTATCTTACCATTTTCTGTGAAGGTGAAAAGGTCTGTAAGAAACTGAGCCCTGAGGTTTCTGAGAGTCCATCTGTCTGTTTGGTCTCCTCTGGATCTGCATCTGTCGCCGCTGGACAAACGGCTGAGATCTCTGAGAGAAGTGAACGCATGTATAAAAAGTTACACCTGAATTCATTCACACATGTATGACAAAAAAAAATGAAAATCACCTTTTAAGCTCAAACTCTGACCATGCACAAACTAATTATCATAATCCCCCTTCAGTACATTAGTGTCCACACCTGGTTGACAGCAGCACTGTTGGGCATCGGTCGGTTCTGAGCAGGTCTGTTCTGGACGGGGCGGTTGAGCGGACTGATCCCTTTAAACAGGACGGCATTTTTTCTCGCAGCTAAACCAGTGATGACCCCCTGCCCACGATGCCTGGCCACCGTGGGAGGAAGCTTGCGGTTTCCAGAGAAGCGTTTGTTCACAACACCTCCTACAGATGGCCAAAACAAAACCAGATGCAGAAAATTGTCAGACATGGCTGATTTGCATACAATAAAACACTGAAATTATTCTAAAACTGAATGTATTGTTATATTGCAGCTGTTGGTGAATCTTTTAAATGTTAAAACATGCTTAGAGAAAGAGGAAAAGATACACTTAGATGGGGTCAATAAAAAATTCATGTGACAACAAAAAGAAGAAAACATCAAATTCTAACCTCTTTTAGATGGCACTCCAGCTCTTGGCCCAGTTTTCTTCCCCTGAGTGAAGCGGCCTTTCACCGGGAGTCTGCGCTTTGACGTCTGGGCCTGGAATTGTTTCTGCTTCTTATTCAGCCGGATAATATCATCTGTAAAATACGAATGCAATAAATGTGATCAAATTAAACGATACAGGCTTTGAATACATATTAATTAACATTCTGTTTAAATAAATAACCCTGAGGAAATAAGTGATACTCGGGAAATGCGGTCAAACACAGTCAAGATATATCTTTAAACGCGTTTGCCAATCAATAAAACACCGATAATGGTGAGGATATATATTATATTACGATACAAAGAGATTGCTGCAATGTTAACACTGATAAATCACATGTAAAATGTCACAATGCTAATCAGCTATACACACACACAGACACGCACACACACACACACACACACACACACACACACACTCACACTCACACACACACTCACGAGAAGAACCGAACTTCCCATCACTACTGTCATAGCAAATCTTCTTCTTCTGTTTATTGGCAGTTTTGGCAAACCAACTTAAAGGTGCATTACCGCCACCTACTGATCTGGAGTGAGGAGTGAACAGAGATTTGGTAGCGAGAAGGATATATATATTAAAAAAAAAAAAGGGGGAAAAAAATACCACAATTACATTTTATATTATTTCCATATTTCCTGTCTTTTTTTTTAGATAATTGAACACTTCTTCTTTAATTCTTGATTGCATTCGTCTATTCCCTAGTAATATCTTGAGTGATACTTTATCATGTCCCATCAAACCTAATTTATAATTAAGTTGATTTCTTTCTCTTTGATACGCATCGCATTCTAGAAGAATGTGCTTTACTGTTTCTGGATTCCCACATTTATCACATCTTCCATTTTCATGCTTCCCTATTTTGTGTAAATTGAAATTTAAAGCTGAATGTCCAATCCTCATTCTTGTTATAATAACATCTTTCTTCCTACTCCCACATCTTATTCTCTCTTCACCTACACACCCCTGTATCTGGTAAAGATGCCTTCCTTTTATTCCACTATCCCATAACTTTTGCCATATCTTTCTTACTTCAATTGATATAATTCTCTTGATTTCAGATTTGCTAATTGCTATTAATTTCATTATGTGAGTGTTTCAGAGCCATCTTAGCCAAGCAGTCCACTTCCTCATTTCCCTCCACCCCAGTATGAGCCGGTACCCATAGGAAGTATACCATTATCCCTGATTGTCTAATTCTAAACAAGTACTGTAATACTTCATATATTAAATCTTGCCGTGCTGCAGATTTTCCACTCACTAGACTTGTTAGAACAGACATTGAATCTGTACATATTACAATATTATTTGCTTGTATTTCTTCAATCCATTGTAGTGCTAATATAATAGCTATTAATTCTGTAGTAAATACAGACATATGATCTGATATTCTTTTGGCTATTTTTATTTTAAATGCAGGAATATATACTGCTGCTGCTGTCCTTCCAGATTCAGGATCCTTCGACCCATCCGTATATATATCTGTAACTAACTGTGAATAATATGCTTGACAAGACAACACTAGCAAACTAGCCAGCTTTCTTTCATTGAGCGCTCAACGTTTCTGCTCATGCGCGGACTTACGCACTTCGCGCTGAGGCTCTTGGGAAATGTAGTTGATTAAAAAAAAGTTGTACCAATCGTAAAATGCAGTAATGCTTTAAATATATGATGATTACTTGTATTTGAGTGCTACATGGCAATGTGTAATTAGTGCACTTCGTCAAATTTGGTGCAGCAAATTCTTTGTTATTGTTATGGAAAACGAATCGTTGGGTAACACAGCAGGAGCGTAAGCCCCGCCTCCAGCAGTCATTGGTCAATGAGCGGTGTTACAAAACCAGCCAGCTGCACGTGAGAAAATTGTGAGTCTGCCAACCGCCAGTAAACATTAGAAGAAGAAGAAGAGAAAATTGTGCAGCGACAGAATTATCAAAAGTGCATTTGGTTTCACGTGTTCGGAAGTGCATGCTTAATATTAGGTAAACGGTTTCTTTAATGAGCTCTTTTTTTGCTATGCATCGTGAGCCATATGCAAATGACCTTGCTGTTTTTATCTAGGTTGTTTTCTACGTGTTTGTACAACATCAGAAACCTAAGAAGAGCGCTGCTCCTCCGTGCCATCAGCGACCCAAACACACTTCCACATTATATCAGTATGTCTGCAAACAAGCGCAACCTGAAGCGCCAGAGAGAGCCAGCGGACAGCGCCGGGGGGAAGCAGCCGAGGCTAGAGGGAGTGAGAGCGAGAGAGACCGGCTGGCTGCTGCGGGAAGTGACCGAGCTCCGCAGAGCAGCGCTGGGATGCGAGTTCAACAAAAAGCGCCTCCGTTATTTAGCAGACACACAGAAAATCAAACAGGGCTCCGATGGGGTCCTCTACTGGATGTCCCGCGACCAAAGAGTCCAAGGTGAAGTATATACAGAGAGAAAAAAAGTTGCTCAGTCTTTTATGCTCACCAGGACTGCATTTATTTGATCAAAAACACAATAAAACAGTAATATTGTGAAATAGTATTGCAAATTTAAAATAACTGTTGGTTACACTTTACTTGAAGGGGTGTGCATAAGACTGACATGACACCTTCATAATCATGACATGATACCTACATAATCATGACATGACACCTACATAATCATGACATGACACCTTCATAATCATGGCATGACACCTACATAATCATGACGTGACACCTACATAATCATGACGTGACACCTTCATAATAATGACATGACACCTACATAATCATGACATGACACATGTCATGAATATGAAAGGTTTTTAATGCATGTTTATGACAACTGTCATTAAGTGTCATTCGCTCAGTTATGTCATTATTAATGCAAAGATGACATTGTTTGAGATGTCTTTGTTATGGGCTATGGTTAGGGGTAAGGGTAGGGTTAGGTTAGGGTATGACAGTTGTCATAAACATGCATAAAAAAAACCCTTCATATTCATGACGTGTCATGTCATGATTATGTAGGTGTCATGTCAGTCTTATGCACACCCCTTCAAGTAAAGTGTTACCTAACTGTTTTCTATTTTAATATATTTTAAAGTATAATTTATTCCTGAGATGCAAACAAAGTTGAATTTTCAGCATCATTAGCCCAGTCTCATGATTGTCAGTGTCGAAACCTGTTGTGCTGCCTAATAGGGTAAGACTGATAAGATAAGGTAAGATTGAACAATGTGCATTTACTTTTAAATTGTAACATATTTAGTTAAGTTTAGCATGTGCAGGATGATGATGCATCAGCCAATGTGTTATTATAGGAAAGAAATAGAAACATTTGCTAAATTATTCAAGGATTCCATCTACCACTATATGACTTTTAATATAATTCTTATGGATATGTATATATTTTTAGTGCTGTCAAACGATCAATCGCATCCAAAATAAAAGTTTTAGTTTACATAATATGTGTGTGTACTGTGTATATTTATTATGTATATATAAATACACGCATATGCAGTATATATATATTCATGTAATTTAAATTAAAAAACAGCCGACATAAAAGCCTTTAATATTAAATACGATGTTATAGATCACTATTTTCCAGAGACACAAAATAATATCAATTAACCTCAACACTGTTTCAACTGGCTAAATCTCACAAACATTGACATTCAAATAAAAATACATTCATCAAAAGTGAAAATCCATGGTGCATTTTTTTTCCCGGAATTCTTTGATGAATAGAAATTTCAAAAGAACAGTGTTTATTTAGAAATATATATATTTTTTTAACATTATAAATGCCCTTACTGTTACTTTTGATCAATTTAATGCATCCTTGCTGAATAAAAGTATTCATTTCATTAAAAACTCTTCCTGACCACAGACTTTTGAGTGGTGATGTACATTGGTGTTGTTTGTGCTGCAGATAACTGGGCATTGATCTACGCTCAGCAGCTGGCTCTGGCTGAGAAACTTCCTCTGCACATCTGCTTCTGTTTGGTGCCTCGATATCTGGAAGCGACCTACAGACAGTACGCCTTTATGCTGAAAGGACTGCGAGAAGTGGCAAAGGTACAGAAATACTACACCTCCACTTAAATGAGAGAGATCATTACATCTGTCATTGAGTGTTTGATGTGTCTTACTATTTGTTAGATTGAGCTACAGAAATAGACCACACCCCTTTCCATAACTGGTGTTTCTGATTGGCCAGGGCTGCACTCCTAGGTAGTAGGGACATTTAATGAATTGTATTTGAATAAAATCTGTTTGTTACAGGAATGCAAAAGCCTGGATATTCAGTTCCATCTGCTGTCAGGAGAACCTGGACAGAAGCTGCCAAGCTTTGTTAAAAACGGGAAGTTTGGAGCAGTTGTCACTGACTTTAACCCCCTCAGGATCCCTCTCCAGTGGATTGAGACTGTTAAGAAACACCTTCCGTCTGACGTCCCTTTCATTCAGGTGTGTTAGTCATTATTGTTTGTCTTGTGCATGTGCTCCGTTCTTGCATGCCATGTGCTCGTGTACTGATTTGAAACCGTGTTACATTTTCCTGCCGCTCTGAATCAAGGTTGATGCACATAACGTGGTGCCTTGCTGGGAAGCGTCTGAGAAGCTGGAATATGGGGCCAGGACGATACGAGGCAAAATCACTAAACTTCTGCCAGAATTCCTCTCAGAGATTCCTCTTGTGGACACTCACCCACACTCTGCTTCTCGTACAGCAAAGGTTTGATCAAGGATTCTACTGTAGCTGTTCCAGAGATGTGATTGTTCCGTTTTTATGTCAATTTTTAGATGGATTCTGACCTGAAGTATGATCATATGAACTGCATAAATCTGATGAAAAAAAAATGCAGATTTTCAAATACATTTAAAATGTATGTATTTAATAAAATAAATGAAATAAAATTGAAAATGAAGTTTAAATATTAAAATAACAAGCAAAACAAGCGAGGGGGAAAAAATAAGAAAAAAAACTTGGGTGAATGTAGGTTACCATTTCATATGTATATATTTTTTATTTTTCAGCCCAATAGTATTAGTGGAATGGTAATATTTCTTTATTGATTCATTTTTTTATTTTTTTTTTACTATAATAATAACAGTAAGTATTTTTAATTGTTGTTGTTGTTAGCTAGTGGTAATGCTTATTATAATTAATGTAATTGTTGTTATTAATAATAATTGCAACAACAATAAAAACAATATATATTTTGCATTATTATTATTATTATATTATTTATCTTATATATTTATTTGTCAGTAAAATAGTATTCTTTAATTGATTTAATTTTCATAATATTAAATAATATATAATAAAAATATTTGACCAATTATTATTATTATTGTTGATTAGTATTAATAATTATTATCATAAATTGAATTATTCCCCAAAAAATTATAACAATAATAATAAATTAAATAATATTTTTTTATTATTATTATTTAATCTTTTTTTGCAGAAAAATAGTAGATTTGGAATGATAATATATTTATTCATTTGTTCATTTATTTAAAATTATTTAAAATTTAAATTTAATATTATTTAAAAAAAGAAGCAAAAAATATTTAAAGAATAATAATTATTCTTTATTAGAATTAATTTCATTATTATTATTAAACTAAACTAACTAAACTAGCAATAACAACAATAATAATATATTATTTTTGTATTATTGTTGTTGTTGTTGTTGTTTTTATTGAATGGGGAAAAAACTGGTTTTCCTTCTTTTTTTATCCTTAGCTGATCACTTGCCTGTTGTAATCTGTGAAGCACGTTTTGTTTTGAACATGTTTTGTTCATTGTTAGCATTCTCAAATGCATTATGACTGTAAACCCTGGTTCTACATAAAAGGTGTTTTCCCATCTTCTTCATTTCAAAATCTGTGTTTCAGCCAGTGGACTGGGAGGAGGTGCTGTCGTGTCTTGAGGTGGAGCGCAGTGTTGGAGAGGTGGACTGGGCTCAGCCTGGCTCCTGTGGCGGCATGGCCATGCTGGAGTCCTTCATTGACCAACGGCTGCGTCTCTTTGCCACTCACAGAAACAATCCCAACTGTGACGCCCTCAGCCATCTCTCCCCATGGATCCACGCTGGTCCGTTTACACTCTGTCTTATGTCATGTCCACACGTACACGGGAGTTTTTCTTTCTTCCGTTTTTAAAAAAATCTCCGTCCACATGAAAACGCAAACGCATGCTATGAAGCACTGTCAAGAGCATGCCAAACCAACAGGTGGCGATATAATCTCAACCGTAAAGCCATGTTGGCCAATCAGAAGCCTGAAAAAGTCTCCAGTAGGCGGAGATAACAGCGCAGACGCTGACGTCACAAGCCAAAAACTCCGGTTTCACGGTCTACACGATAACACTGCAACCGGCGTTTTTGAAAATCTTCACCCTGGCAGGCGTTTTCAAAAATGTTCGGTTTCAGTGACCTGGTGCTGCGTTTGTGTGTGGACAAACGGTCAAACCGCATAGAAAAAGCTGCGGTTTTGAAAATACCTGCGTTCGTGTGGACAGGGCCTGAGTCTCTGCATTATCCTGTCCTCTCATGCATTTGTCTTATGTGGACGACAAGCCTTTTTGGGGGACTTGAATGAATTGGTGTCATTGTAAAGCTGCAGTATTCTAGAAAGCAGAGATTCCGAACAGGTCTACACGATAACACTGCAACCGGCGTTTTTGAAAATCTTCACCCTGGCAGGCGTTTTCAAAAATGTTCGGTTTCAGTGACCTGGTGCTGCGTTTGCGTGAGGACGAACGGCCTAACCGCGTAGAAACAGCTGCGGTTTTAAAAAATAACCGCGTTCGTGTGGACAGGGCCTTAGTGCTTTTTTTTTATGTTGTTCATGCAGTGCTATAAATGGGGTTCAAAACAGTATTGTTACAATATTACAATTTATTTTGTGACCCACTGAAGTCCTGCAGGTTTGGAAAAACTTGAGAGTGAGAGATTGATTTTTGATCTTTATTTTACACCATCCACTTCTAGATGTAGTTTAGGGGTTATAATAGTTGGCATGTTTTCTCTTGAAGGTCAGTTGTCTGCTCAGCGTGTGGTGAAGCAGGTCAAACGAGAAAAGAACGCCAGCGAGTCTGTGCTGTCTTTTACTGAGGAGCTGGTGGTGCGCCGGGAGCTCGCCGACAACTTCTGCTTCTACAACCACAACTATGACAACATTTCAGGTGAGCGCTGTGTCAGTGGCTTTAATCGCTCGCAGGCTTTCTGCAGGTCTCAAAAAGTTTTAAATTGTATATCTCACAGGTGCGTATGATTGGGCGAAGAAGACTGCAGGATCACGCTAAGGACTGCAGACAGTACCTTTACACAAAAGAGCAGCTGGAGAACACCAAGACCCATGACCAGCTGTGGAACGCTGCACAGGTAGCTCAACATTAGCGTTTCACTTGAAACGCTTTAATTGAAGTGTGTTTTCTGGTGGTTTCATAGTATAGTTTTTGTCATTTTTGTCTCGAAACCACTGCTGTAATGGCAAACCCAGTGAATCGAGCCAGTAAATGCATTGAAATGAAGTCTCCTGGTGTGTTGTAGCGTCAGCTGGTGTTAGAAGGGAAGATGCATGGGTTTCTGCGCATGTACTGGGCAAAGAAGATCCTGGAATGGACTGCATCTCCTGAAGAAGCCCTCTCTATTGCTATATATCTGAATGACCGTCTGTCTTTAGATGGCTGCGATCCCAACGGATATGTGGGTGAGAAACCTGATGCTTTGATTGCTCTAGCACATCAAATACATTCTTATAATAAATTATTAAAGTAGTAGTAGAGTTATATGTATATGTGACCCTGGACCTCAAAACCAGTCATAAGGGTAATTTTTTCGAAATTGAGATTGATACGTCATCTGAGAGCTGAATAAATAAGCTTTCCATTGATGTATGGTTTGTTAGGATAGGACAATATTTGGCCGAGATACAAGTATTTGAAAATCTGGAATCTGAGGGTGCAAAAAAAATCAAAATATTGAGAAAATCGCCTTTAATTTGTCCAAATGAAGTTCTTAGCAATGCATATTACTTAATCAAAAATTAGTTTTAATATATATACAGTAGGAAATTTACAAAATATCATGGAACATGATCCTTACTTAATATCCTAATGATTTTTGGCATAAAAGAAAAATCTATAATTTTGACCCATACAATGTATTTTTGGCTATTGTTACAAATATACCCCAGCGACTTAAGACTGCTTTTGTGCTCCAGGGTCATATATATATATATATATATATATATATATAAGAAAGAAAGAAAGAATAGAAGAAATTCATACTTTTTTTTTTTTTCCAGCAAGGATGCATTAAATTAATCAAACCGGTTAAAGTAAAGGCAAAAACAGTAAAGGCATTTCTAATGTAACAAATGTGATTGCATCACAGTTTCCACAAAAATATGAAGCAGCCCAAATGTTTTCAATATCAATAATAATAAAAAATATTTGTTAAGCAGCAAATCAGCATATTAGAATGATTTCTGAAGGATCATGTGACACTGAAGACTGGAGTAATGATGCTGAAAATTCAGCTTTGATCACAGGGATAAATTACATTTTTAAATATATTTAAATAAAAATAATAGTTATTTTAAATTGTAATAATATTTCACAGCATTACAGATTTTACTGCATTTTTGATCAAATAAATGCAGCCCTGGTGAGCATAAGAAACGTCTTTCAAAAACTGACCTCTTACTGAACTTTTTTTTGTATTTGATTATATGAATTATTTTGTTTAATATTCTTGCAGGTTGCATGTGGTCCATCTGTGGCATCCATGACCAGGGCTGGGCAGAGAGGCCCATCTTTGGCAAAATTCGCTATATGAATTATGCTGGCTGCAAGCGGAAGTTTGATGTGGCTCAGTTTGAGAGGAAGTACGCTGCTGTACAGGAGACCTCCAAGAAATCTGTCTAGTTTAATTCGTCAAATTCTGAAAATCTACTGACTGACGTAAAATTTCAGTTCTCATTGTTTGTACTTGTTTTAGAGGGACTGTATTTAAGGGTATTTTTTTCTGGCAGACACTTTTCTGTAGTAAGGGCAAGTTTATTAATAAGATGCTATATTTGTTATGTTGTTTGTTGGTATAAAGGCTATTGTCTGTCTTATGTGTTTACTTGTGCTACTTCTGATATTCTTTTTTAATGGATCATAGGACCTATAAGTTTGGGCTGATGTTACAAAGTTCTCTACGGTCATGCATTGCAGACTTCAGAAATGCAATGTATAGAAGTTGTACTGTTGTTTTCTGCAATTTTGTTTATGTACAATGGTGGAAGAATCAATCACCAAAAATGAAATTTTTTTTAATACACAACACACTGCCTTCGATTTATAAACTCCCTCAAAATGATCTCACTAGGGGGCCTCAGTGGACTTCTGAGGGCCAGAGGATGACTTAAAATACTTCATACTTAAATGCTAAAAAAGTCAGTTTTAATAATAGCTATTATTTTATTAAAGCATTAACTGGTGGAATGAAACCCAGTGATATTTAATTGCATATTTCAAAGCAGGTTATAAAAATGAGTGCAGTTCTTATGAAGTGTTTTCACACATATTAACTTTAATACAATCATTATTATAACATAAAAGTGTGACTGACAATTCAACGGATTTTTCTGTTCTTTTTAATGGATAGCTAATGCAGTTGACATAAGGATGCATATTTCATTGAACGTGTTCAACATTAAGTTAAACTAAAATGATTAGATTTCCGAGCATGAAGAAATAAAAAGCATTGAAATAAACATGATGTTATGTAGGAATACAAATGAATTTATATTAATTGAAAAAACATTTAAAAACAAGAACATGAGTAACAACACAAGATATTAAGTGTAATGACAAATTATTCAAAGTATATTGTACTTGTCCTCCAGATCTGGCTATTAGGAATATTTACATTACTTAGAATAATGTATAAATATGTACATTATTTAGCATATTATGCCATTGACAATGTCCCATGACATAATCAGTGAAATGCAAGCACTTTTTATAATCTTGAATCTGACAGCTGATGTATTGCTCTGCGTCATGTAGGGAAGAAGCAGACAGATAAAGATGGAAAAGTAAACAGGTGGAGGGGACCACTAAACTGGAGTTGGAGAGATCTGTTATCATCAGCATTCCATCCTTAAAGGAGACATATTATGCCCCTTTTTGCAATATGTAATATAAGTGTCTGGTGTCCCCAGAATGTGTCTGTGAAGTTTCAACTCAAAATACTCCACAGATCATTTATTATATCATTTTGAAAATGCCTATTTTGAGTGGAAGCAGAAACACGCTGTTTTTCGGGCCTGTCTCTTTAAATGCAAATGAGCTTCTGCTCCCCGCCCCCTTTTCTAGAATAGAGCTGCGCCATTACAGCTCGTACCTGCTGAAAACATCTGTTTTGGTTCTGATTATCATGTTTATCATGCTGAAATCATGCGTTTTAAACCATATGAGTTTAAACTTCATATATACGGTTTTCTGAGAGCACTCATCCGAAGCACACGTACAGAAAGCGGCTGTCACAGCATGTAAGTACTAAACTAAGTTCTCATTCACACACAAGTTAGGTACCAGGTACTGTACCCAGTGGAAAACCCCCAAAAAGTGAACTGTTCCGAGCCGTACCATGCAGTGGAAAAGAGCCATAAATAGTGTTCTGTGCTCATCTGTGCAGCCAAAGACAGAACAGTTAGCATGTTTTGCTCAAACGTTCACCATGGCATTAGAGCTGGTACACCGTTGTCGCTTGCAAAATCACAATGACGGCGCAGTGGGTGTAAATGTACAGATTAAGGGGCGGTAATATTATAATGAGATCCCTTTGCCACGTCAACAAGGGAGCGAAATCAGACGCGCTCGTTTTCTCAGACGCTTGCAGAAAAAGGCTTCCCAAAACAAAGTTACTGGGTTAATCTTTTTCACGTTTCCTTGGTTGGTAGATGCACCGGGGACCTGATTATAGCACTTAAAACCTGGAAAAGTCAGATTTTCATGATATGTCACCTTTAAAAATTAGCTCAGAGAAACATCACTATACAAACATCTGCAGAATCAACATGACAAGGCTATAGCTCTCATCATTCATCTATATAATATATTTTGAATGTTTCACATTCACTGTGATAACTACATTCCTACAGAACAGAAGTTGTCTTAAATGTGGTGGATCATTGTGTGTCACTGAACTGCTCACTAGTAGAAGGAACTGCACTTTTTAACCATGTAGAACACAACTTATAACAAATACAAAACATATATAATGCATATATATCTAATATAACCTCATCACATCATCACAGTGATACGAAATGTGGCATCACTACAGTAGATATTACAGTCAGTGAGAATGATGGGAAACTTGCTTGGTTACTGGAAACACTTAAGATTTACAATTACTGTCAATACTCTGCTGTTTTATTGGAAGTCAGAGCATCAGTGTTTTTCAGTGGAAATCTCTTTCGCTCCGCTCCACTCACATACCTTGCTCCAGTCCGGCTTTCAGTCTGTGTGTTGCTTGGTGACACGTAAAACTTGATGGTTTGGCTTCTTTACATTGGCGGAGAAGAAATATACGAACTAACTGACCATTTTCTTTTAAAGACATATGTTTGGACACAGCTGCACCATATGTCAGAGCGCTGCCCATAAGGCTATGACACATATACCAATTTGTTTCCAAATATCTGTGAAAAACATAAGTTACTTGATATAAATTACTTTGTTAATGTTTTTCATTTTGAAGAAAGGCTTTAGAGAAGCTTATATCTGATGACATCACTAAGTGTGTTTACATGCAAAGTAAAACATTGATGTTTTATTAAAAATGTAACAACACAAGAAAATGTGTGTTATATGAGATTTGAAATGATACTGTTTTGATATCAAAGTGTAAAGAGTTCTTTTTTGTGTGCACTCATGCTACTGTTCAAATATTTGGGGTCTAATTTATTTATTGTTTTTTAAAGAAAATTATACTTTTATTCAGCAAGGATGCATTAAATGGATCAAAAGTGACAGCAAAGACATTTGTATTGTTACAAACTATTTCTATTGAAAAATGCTGTTCTTTTGAACTTTCCCATCAAAGAATCCTGGAAAAAAAGTATAACAATTTCCACAAAAATATGAAGCTTTCATCACTGATAATAATAAATGTTTCTTGAGCATCAAATCAGAATATTAGAATGATTTCTGAAGGATCATGTGACTGAATACTGGAGTAATGATGCTGAAAATCCAGGAATAAATGACATTTTAAAGGGATAGTTCACCCAAAAATGAAAATTTGATGTTTACCAGGGCATCCAAGATGTAGGTGACTTTGTTTCTTCAGTAGAACACATTTGATGATTTTTAAGTCCAACAGTTGCAGTCTATCAGTCGTATAATGCATGGCAATGGTAACAAAATCTATGAGAGTAAAAAAAACATGCACAGACAAATAAAATCATCAAATGTGTTCTACTGAAGAAACAAAGTCACCTACATCTTGGATGCCCTGGGGGTAAGCAGATAAACATCAAATTTTCATTTTTGGGTGAACTATCCCTTTAATATATATTCACATGGAAAGCAATTATTTCGGTAACACTTTATTTTGCGGTGTCCTTGTTACACGTGTACTTAGTATTATAATAACAATAAATTATGCATAATTGCATGCAAGTAACCCTAAGCCAAACCCTAATCCTAACCCTAATCATATAGTAAGTACATGTAGTTAATTAATATTACTCAGTACTTAAATGTGTAATTACATTGTAACAAGGACACCTTAAAATAAAGTGTAAGCTTTTTTCAAATTATATTTTCATAATATTACTAATGTATTTTTTACTGTATTCTTAATCAAATAAATGCAGCCTCGATGAGCATTAGAGATTTCCCTAAAAACATTTATAAATTGTACCGACCCCAAACTTTTGAATGGAAGTGTATATATTGTTTTTGTATATATCTGTGCGTATACTGGCTATTTTGCAGTATCTCTGAATATTAACATGATTACATGAGCACTCATTAATGTAATTGTATACACAGCATTGAATACGTTGACAGCGCAACTATGAATGATAGTATTTGAATAAAATAACTACAGAGTGTGTGGCAGCCCACGAGGGCTGAATTTGACAGAAAATGAGACCGAATTGGAGGCAGAAAAAGAGGCAGAAACAACACTACGTAATGTGATCTTACTTATTGAGAGCTGACGATGGTCTTTTTGACACACCACCTCACGGAACATTTCTCTGAAGCGTGAAGACATGAGGTTATACAGGATGGGATTGACCACTGAGCTCAAGTAGAAGAAGACACCAGAAAGAAGATGCACATACTCAAAGACATGGTGGTTCTCTGCAGTCCAGTCATCAATGTAGCTCCACATGACACGATCGATGTGAAATGGGGCCCAGCAGATTCCAAACACAATCACCAATGCACCTGTCAAATACACAGCAAGTGTTTAGAAATGACAAATTAAAGTAAGTGTGTAGAATAAATTCAGTTCAACACCAAATAATAATAATAATAAATCAGACAAATGATACCTTTTAAATATATTATATTTTATATTATATTACTTGTGGTTTTCAAAGATTAGTGGATCATGTTCAGAGACTTTTAGGAGACTATTGTGAACCTGATACATTTACTAAAACATTCAATTCATACATTCACTAAAAATCACCAAAACACAGGTTATGTATTCACTCTCAGGCCATCCAAGATGTAGATGAGTTTGTTTCTTCATGGAATCAGACTCGGAGAAATTTAGTGTTACATCACTTGCTCACCAATGGATCCTCTGCAGTGAATGGGTGCCGTCAGAATGAGAATGAGCTGTCCAAACAGCTGATAAAAACATCACAATAATCCACAAGTAATCCATACCACTCCAGTCCATCAATTAACATCCTGTGAAATGAAAATATGTGTGTTTGTAAGAAATAAATCCATCATTAAAGGGTTAGTTCACTCAAAAATGAAAATTCTGTCATTAATTACTCACCCTCGTGTTGTCCGAAACCCATAAGACCTTCGTTCTTCTTCGGAACACAATTTAAGTTATTTTTGATGAAATCTGAGAGCTCTCTGACCCTCC